TGCAACTTTACTATATTCATTGATTAGGTCTAGTAATTTTTGGGTGCTATCTTTAGGGTTTTCTATGTAGAGGATCATGTCATCTGTAAACAGTAAAAATTTTACTTCTTTTCCAGTCTGGATTCCTTTTATTTCTTTTTCTTCTCTGACTTCTGTGGCTAGGACTTCTAAAACTATGTTGAACAGTGGTGGTGAGAGTGGGCACCCTTGTCTTGTTCCTGATTTTAGAGGAAATAGCATGCACAACTTTTGTGTGGTTTCTTTGCAAGACATGTATTTTTAAGTCTAATACACTCCGAAGTCTTCAGAAAGCCCTTGCCGACACAGTTCCATGACTTCTCTTCAATATGGACTCTTATTACAGATACTTCAACTCAAGGTGAAACTCTTTCCACACCAATTGCGTCTATGAGGCATTGCTCTAGTATCATCCCCAAACTGTGCTATTTCACAAAACTCCTTCCTACAAACATATTTTTGTGGCTTGTCTCCAGGATATATATTCCTACATACCTAGAGAGTGAGTAGTAATTGTAAAAACTGCCATAGTCATTGTATTTCTAAGTATAAAATATTTGATGAATCGTTAAGTTTAAGGCAGCACCTAAAAGACTTGCCACATTGCATACACTTGTAAGGATCTCCCTCGTATGGATCATCTGATGACTGGTGAGATATGAGCCCTGAGTAAAGGTTTTACACACTCATTATCACTTGTCAGCTGTTCCTTCAGAATGACTTCTTCACTGAATCTTAAATTCAGCCTGTTGTCTAAAAGCCTTGACACACTTATTACATCAACATAGCTTCTAGGTATTATAGTATCAATTTTTTCATGAAGCCTAAATGGAAACACCTGACAAAAGCCTCACCACAACGATTACATTTGTAAGGTCACTTGCATATGGATCACCTGATGTCTTTTTAGGCCTGAATGCTACCTGATGCATGTGCCCCACTCATTCCATTTTCTTTCTCTCCATTATGGATTCCCTGATGATATGACTAATGAGACTTGTATTGAAGCACTGGTCACATATATTACATTTACATCCTTTCTCTCATATACAGGTTACCTTATGATCCCCTTAAGATTTACTGCACTATAAATGTATGGCTTCTTCCCAGTATGATTTTTTTTCACGATTTTTAAGGTTTGAACGCCTTCTAAAACATTTGCCAGAATCACTAAAGCACTGGCCTCTCGCAGGCAGGAGAGCGAGCTTGAACTGCGTCACACCACTATGCCTGCAACACACACATACACCATTCAGAGGGCTCATCCAGAGGTCGAAACTTCCCTCCTCTCACAACTCTCCTAGACCCCCAATAGCTTCCTCTCCACTTTCCACATTTTGTCACCACTCTTCTGTGCTCTGTTAAGCAACACGGCTAAACAGCAGAGACCACTGGGCCTGGGCAACACACAGAAACACACAAGCTGCAAATGCAAGGGCACTGGGCACTCAGTACGGAGACCAAGAAACCGGCCCTCCTGGGAAAACATGCCAGGAACTGGGGATATCACAAAGTTTTAACGGTCCTTGAGATTTGGCTTGATTGAGCTCATTGAAGAAGTCACAGAGAAAGGCCCCAATCTCACTGCCACCTGTTGTCCCTGACTGAGCTAATTGGAAGATACACCAGCCCTTTAAGGAAGTGGGCCTCCTTCATAGACCCTTGGATTTCAAAGCTTCTGGCCACTCTAACCTGAGTAAAATCAGTATCCCCCACTTTGACTAGATAAACCACTGAAAGCAGACTTTTGCGACTACAGCCTTCATTATGAAGTCTCCCATTAACAAGATTATCAATCCTCACAGGCTTCCATTCTTATTATCTTATTATCCAATCAGCCCACATGTTGCACATCTAGACCTGAGCCTATTAATAACCCTGTCTCTCCATCCCACACAGCTGTGTACAGCACTCGTGTCACTGGCTTCACAATTATAGGACAACCTCCCTTCTCCAATTAATTTTAATTAATGAAGACAACCCACTCCTACTCAACTCTATCAAAGGTCTTTTAGCTAGAAGCATTTTCAACCAATTTTTTTTTTATCTCTGAGAATATTCTAACACTAACATTCCCACAAATGACCAGGCCTCATTACTTGAACCTAACTGCTCCTTGTCCACCTGCCCCACATAATCATCTTAGGTTTAGTGTAGCACTGACAGTCAACCTTAATACACAAAATCTAAAACTATCTCTCAAATGTCTTCAGATTCTCTGCTCTCTTAAGATACTTTCCCACTATTATACACCACTTTCCACTGCACTTGTCAGCAATCCATAATTCAGCATTATCCACACTGGGTCTCATTGACTGGAAAACTACCAACCAAAACTCACTTCTTTAATTCAAATAAAACACTAGTATCAGGCCAAAGAGGCTTCCCACGTGGCTCAGTGGTAAAGAATCCTGCTGCCAATGGAGATGCAAGAGATGGGGATTTTATCCCTGAGGCAGAAGATCCCCAGGATCAGGAAATGGCAACACATTCCAGTATTCTTGCCTGGGAAATCCCATGGACACAGGAGCCTGGCGGGCTACACTCCATGGGGTCTCAAAGAGTTGGAAATGTCTGAGCATAGAGATCATTTTATATTTTTCCTTGATTCTAGAGCTCATACCAATAACCAGCATCACTGAAATTTATCTCCTAAAATGGAGAGTCTCTGTAGTCAATTTATTACCCTGGTCATATAAACCAGGAAAGGACAGTAAAACGCCTCCCTAACACTCGAGAGGAGAAGGAAATGGCAACCCACTCCAGTGTTCTTGCCTGGAGAATCCCAGGGATGGGGGAGCATGGTGGGCTGCCGTCTATGGAGTCGCAGAGGGTCGGACACGACTGAAGTGACTTAGCAGCAGGATCAACACTCGAGAAAGAACTCCAGCTCCACCAACAGTTGCAAAGATGAAATTTTAAGCTAGTTCCTGAACAAGTGTTTTGCTATATTTCCAAAATTATTAAGTGCCATGTCTCAATTATAATGACTTTCCCCCTATAAATTACTATACATTTTGTGCAAGATATATGTTACCTCAGGATTTTACTCTGTAAGGAAATTAGACCACAGGCCTCTCAGGGTAACAATTGAATTCACTTGGGGAGGAACGGCTGGGGGATTAGGAAGGTCCCAAGTGACCCTTGAACACAGATATAGAGTAGAGGGGATCCTATGGACGGAGCTTAACAAGACTAAAAAGCAAAACACAGTACCTCACTGTTCCTGGGGCGACCGCACCTACCAAGTCTTGGCCTCAGGAATTAATGTAAACCCACGTCCTTCGAGGGGAGACACCAGAGATTCCCAAGCGGTAGGTTCCAGGAGAAAGGGACAACGACGGTCGGAAGAGCCTAGGACACCCGCCTGCGTCTGGACGTCTGGGGCGGAGCGGGGCCGAGCGAGCGGGGCCGAGCGTACACCTACCAGCCTGTTCCTCCCTTTGGTTCCAGAGGTATCTTGTCAGGGTTAAGGAGTATTTGAGGGTCTCTCACGTCTTGTGCGGCACCATTGATTGCTCATTACTTAAACTAATTGTAACACTTTTAATAAAACCTTAAAATTCTGTGGGATAATCACAACGGAAAAAAAGGGTTTGGCTTAACATTTGGAGTACTGCCATGTCCGACGACAGAGGATGAAATCGTTGGATAGCATCACTGACACAATGAGTTTGAGTAAATTCTGGGAGTTGGTGATGGGCAGGGAGGCCTGGTGTGCTGCAGTCCATGGGGTCACAAAGAGTCGGTCATAACTGAGAGATGGAACCAAACTGTACTTGGAGTTCTGTTGATGAGGCTGAAGTGATTCAGAGCCCCGGGGACTGAAACCTGGTGTGGTGGCCAGGTTGGGGTTGGGTGGGGGTTGATGTGGGGTGCTGCTGGGGTGGGGCTGGATGTGGGGTGCTAGTTGAACCCAGGAATATTCCTGTAATTAGAATTTAAGCAGTTTAAATAAACAAGAACTGGCTTTCTGTAGGGATGACAAGCTAGAATGTGAAAACACACAACTCTTAGAAAGGGCTACTTCATACTAACACTTCTAAGGAGAAAAATGTCCTGACATTCCACTTCTTCAAGGATCAAGCTTATTAGTCACTGCAGTGGCCCAGCGAAAGTGCACCCTGAGGGGAATGCAGGATTGAGACAAGCAGGCACCATACTGTGCTTTGGACATTCTGGCCTTGGGATTTAGGAAGGGTCTCTTGGGACCATCCACCTCTTCAGCAAGACCATAAAATTGGGGGTATACTCCTGGTTTTCAGATCTCCCAGTTAGTGGTTGATGACCCCAATTTTGTTTGGCAGTGTATTAACATACACTGAGTTAAAAGACAGTCCATGGGGTCACAAAGAGTCAGACATAACTGAGCGACTGAACCAAACTGTACTTGGAGTCCTCCTATTAAAAGACACTGAGAATTTCCCTGGTGGTCCAGTGGTAAATAATCTACCTGCCAATGCATAGGACCCGGGTTTGATCCTTGGTCTGTGAGGATACCACATGCCTCACAGCAACTAAGCCTGTGCAACCTAAGTACTGAACCTGTGCTCTGAAGCCTGAGCTCTGCAACAACAGCAGCCCCAGCAATGAGAAGCCTACACACAAATAACTAGAAAGTCACTTCTTGCTGCAGCTAGAGAAAGCACACAGGCAGGAAAAAAAAAAGAGGCTCAGCACAGCCACACAAACAAAAAGACATTGAATCCTCTGGACTGACCAAAAGGAGCATCAAAATGCCAGTCTCCAACCATACCCCAGCCAAGTTTCTGTGGAGAATTCACAGCCCGATTGCTGCAAAAAGAGAAAGAAGCCAGCACAATGACGACTTAGCAGAGACAAAAATAAATTTTAAACATTACTAAAGAGAGAAAAAAACTTTTAATGAGAAATGCATTCTTCTTTATAAAAGTTTCTGTTCCATGCTTATGATGACAAAACTTCAAATACTTATATAAACAGAACTTGTTTACATCATAATAAATACTACTTAAGTCAACACTTCAATGTAATGGAATGACATTACTATATGATCACTAGATGGTAATTAGGCAATTTACTTCTTGTTGAAAAATTGTAATATATTTTCTCTCATTTCTTTGTTATCTGCTTTGGAAAGATCTGTCAGTTGTGGACAACAAAGCACACTGTAAAATATAAAGTCTTTAAGAAGACACTAGAATTTATTTTCATCAAAATTATCAACTTGGCACTATTTATAAATATTTCTTTGTGTATTACCTGACAAAACTCAAGTCCTAAAGAAACTGTCTTTCTTTATATTTACAGAGCACCTACTATGTTCCCTGTCATTATCTACGTGCATTTTAATGTTACAAAAGTCTCAAAATAACCAACTGACTTATGTATTTGTTAGTGTAAGGCGGGAAATAAATGTAAATTAAACATTAAATCTTGGTCATAACAAGTGGGTAGAAAAAGCAACGCTAAGGAAAACCTACTGAAAAAAACAAAAGAAACAGGATGGCAGGATTTAACAGATTAGCACTGAAACATGTATTACCTTATGTAAAAGGGGCAGAGGGAGTCTGATGTACAAGCGTGTGCTCTGGGACAATCTGGAGGGATACGGTGGTGAGAGAGGTGGGTTCAGGAGGAAGGGGACATATGTACACCTATGGCCTATTAGTGTTGATGTACAGCAAAAACCATCACAATATTGTTTAAAAAAAAATTAACTGATGGTGACTTAGGCCTGAACACACAATCAAAGCTTTCCCACACCTAACACATTTGTGTAGTTTTCCTCCAGGTTGAATTTTCTGAGGGTCAAGAAATTGATATATTTTACTGCATTCTCTACATGTTTAAATTTTCACTGCAGTATGGATTCTCAGATGATCTGCAACATCATTCCTTGTGACTGAAGGGTTTGCCACATAAATAACATTTATGTGGTTTCTCTCCTGTATGAACTGCCTAATGGGGAGTTCATGCTAAACATGCACTAGAAACTCTGCCACATTCATTTCACTTATATGTTTTCTATACAGCATGAATTCTCTGAATTATAAGCCCTGAACACTGACTAAATGCTTTGTCACTCACACTGTACTGGCAAAATGTTTCTCACAACTGTCACATTTCTAATGTTTCTCTCTAGTGTGAGTTCTCTGATGGTTTCTAAGTTCGTCATTTCAAGTAAAGCACTGGCCATATAAATTATATTTATATGGTTTCTCTCCTATTTGAACTGCCTGATGATGAGTTATGGATGACTGATCCTAAATGGTTTGTCACAATTTTTATACTTCTAAGGTTCTCTTAAGTATGAATTCTCTGATGAACTGCAAGGTGTGCATTCACACTGAAAGCCCTGCCACATATACCTCATTTATATGGTTTCTCTCCAGTATGAACTCTCTGATGAATACCAAGGTTTCCAGTACAAACAAATGCCTTCCCACATACAACACATTTATAGGTTTCTCTCCAGTATGAACTCTGATGAACACCAAGGCTTGAACTTACACTGAAAGCCTTGGCACATATACCACAATACATGGTTTCTCTCCAGTATGAACTCTCCGATGAACAGCAAGGTTTCCAGTATGACTAAACGCCTCGCCACACACATCACATCTTTACGGTTTCTCACCAGTATGAACTCTCTGATGAACAGCAAGGTTTCCAGTACGGCTAAACGCCTTGCCACACACATCACATTTATATGGTTTCTCTCCAGTATGAACTCTTCGATGAACAGCAACATTTGAACTTATTCTGAAGGCCTTGCCACATATATCACATTTATATGGCTTCTCTCCAGTATGAATTCTCTGATGAGCTGCAAGGTTTGCAGTTTGACTAAAGGTCTTCCCACATACATCACATTTATTTGGTTTCTCTCCAGTATGAATTCTCCAATGAACAGTCAGGTTTGCAGTATGATTAAACGCTTTGTTACATACATTGCATTTGTATGGCTTCTCTCCAGTATGAACTCTCTGATGAAGTGCAAGTCTTGTAGTATGATTAAAGGCCTTGCCACATACATCACATTTATATGGTTTCTCTCCAGTATGAATTCTCTGATGAACTGCACGTCTTGCAGTGTTATGAAAGGCCTTCCCACATACACCACATTTATATGGTTTCACTCCAGTATGAAGTCTCTGATGAACAGTAAGATTTGAAGCATGACTAAATGCCTTGTCACATACATTGCATTTGTATGGCTTCTCTCCGGTATGAATCCTCTGATGAAGTATAAGTCTTCTAGGTTGACCAAAGGCCTTGCCACATACATCACATGTATATAGTTTCTCGCTAGTATGAATCCTCTGATGAACTGCAAGGCTTGCAGTTTGACTAAAGGCCTTGCCACATACATCACATTTACATGGCTTCTCTCCAGTATGAACTCTCTGATGAACAACAAGGTGTCCAGTACGAGTAAACGCCTTGCCACACACATCACATTTATAAGGTTTCTCTCCAGTATGAAGTCTCTGATGAACTGCATGGCTTGAATTTTGACTAAAGGCCTTTCCAGAAACATCACATTTATATGGTTGATCTCCAGTATGAGTTCTCTGATGATTTTCAAGGTGTGTACTTTGTTGAAAGCACTGACCACACACATCACATTTATAAGGTTTCTCTGCAGGATGAATATTCTGATGAACTGCAAGGTTTCCAATTTGAATAAAAGCCTTGCCACATACATCATATTTCTGTGGTTCCTCCCCAGTAGGAATTGTCCAATGAATTGCCCTGACATTTGTCACAACCTGACTACATTCAAAAATTATCCCTCCAGACTGTACCACCTGCAATTCATTCTGAAAGCTTGATCCGTGCCTTTCAAAAGGTCTATTTCCTACATCACTTCTACTAGGATAATGTCTTCCATCAGTGAGGTTTTTGTTATGGGAAATAGACATTCCTTTGTCATTTCTTTCATCATCTGTCCACAGACAATCAAAGTCATGTATATTTTCCTGGATGTCCCTGAGGTGAAAATCTTTGATGTCAAGGCTTTCAGTTCTTCCAAACATCACTCTTTGAAAAATTTCCCCTTTACCACTGTTTGCTTTTGCGTGTAATTTCTTGATCATATGTATATGAGACATATCTGTAAGACATAAAGAACCACAGGTATTCTATTAGTAACAATTCATAAATAAATTATTTCTTGTCAAACACATGACATTATACCATGAGTCATATCCATCCTGAAGAAAATTATGAATCTTCACAATGATCTTAAAACTACAGAACACTAAAGAAATAGAACTCTTTAAAAAGGAGTGATCATATGCAATTCAAATTAATTTTAGGGTAGTGTCATTTCAAACACAATCAGAGAACATTCATTTTAAGCAAACTCATGTCAGTTTGAAAAGAAAACGTCTTTTCCCACCATGACCTCAAGGCTCATCCTACTAAACACACTGCTGTCTCATAACTGAGAAGAAACTAATGTTATACTGTGTACACTTTATGAATACTTTTACATGTTTAAATGGTGAAGAACATACAGGACTAGAGAGGTGACTCAGTGGTAAAGAAACTGCCTGCCAATGCATAAGACGCAGCACAGGGGGATACAATCCCTGGGTCGGAAAGATCCCCTGGAGCAGGAAATCACAACCCAGTGCACTATTCTTGCCTGAAAAAACTTCCATGGATAGGAAAGCTTGGTGGGCTACAGTCCATGTGATCACAAAGAGTCAGACAGGACTGAGAAACTGAGCAAACAACCATCAAAAAGGCAATACACTGGAATGATAAACAATGCAAAAGAAGCATTCTAATGAATAATGTAAAAAATAAATGGCAGTTAGAAACTGTTCAACAAATACTGCATTGAGAAAATATAGAATTCTGTAAACTATATATATATATATATATATTTTTTTTTTCTTTTTGCTGGATCATGTGACTTACAAAATCTTGGTTCCCTGACCATGGATTAAATCCGGGCTCGCTGCAGCAAAACTACTGAATCCTATCCACTGGACTGTCAGGGAATTCCCTAAAATTATTTAAAAAATTAAAAAATAAATACTTTTTAAAATACCTGTTAGAAATCTATCAGTAGATAGACATAAAATATATCAGTAGATAGAAATTTAGTCATTTTATGACATTAATGAGTGGATCATGTCAGTTATATAGTGTAATACAAAAAGACTGTCGTTTTTAAAAAACAAAAAATATGAGAAACAGTCTCTACTTGTATGATAATCATTATACATCAATTCCCTACTGCACACTAACCTAAACTCACCCAGTTCACTGGCTCAAGATATATGTAAAGGAACAGGCTTTGGGGCTTCCCTTGTGGCTCAGAGGTAAAGAATCCATCACCGAGAATAAGTTGATGAACCACAGATACTGAGCCTGTACTGCAAAACTGCTCACACTCCTGTGCCCAGGGCCCGTGCTTCACAACTAAAGAAACCACCACAATGAGAAACCGTGCTCCCCACAACGAGAGAGTAGCCCTCACTCGTTTCAAACCAGACAAAAGTCCACACAGCAAAAAAGACCCAGTACAGGCCAAAAACAAAGACCTCGCCTTCATCTCTGTGGATGCTACAGCTCCACTGGAGGGTGCTGTACATTTCACATGTCGAAGAACAGAGCCGTCAGTTAGGGAGAAGAAAAATATCCTGTGAGATTCACAAACATTAAACATCTGTTTTCTCACAGAACTCGCCCACTTGGAGAGTTTCCCAAACCTCATGAATGGTGTGGCTTCCTCTCTGTCCTTGTGACAGCTGACCTGTGATCACACTGTTGATACTTTCCCACTCATCTGGATTGTTGCTATTAGCACCTCATTCTCTACAATCCAGGGGTCTTTCTCCTCATAACACAAGTTTGGAGATGATGTTCAGATCAGAAATAGAAATTCCTACTCACAAGTAATGACACATACCGTGGCTTCATCTGGAATCCAAACTCTTTTTCTTTTAATATATGTATCTACTATTTTTAATAGATATTAACTTTTTAATTTTTAATGTATTTATTTCTTTTGGCTCAGGGGACTGTTCATTGCTGTTTGGTCTTTTCTCCAAGTTCAGTAAGTAGGGGCTACGCTCCAGATACAGTGCTCGTGCTCCTCACTTGCTGTGGCGTCTCCTGGGTGCATGGGCTTCAGTAGTTGTCTCATGTAGGCTCAGCAGTTGCAGCTTCCAGGCTCTAGAGTGCTGGCTCTTAGTCGAGGCACACAGGTGTAGCTGCTCTGTGACATGTGGGATCTTCCCAGAGCAAGGATCAAACCTGTGTCTTCTGCATTGGCAGGTGTAGAATCCAGCCTTTTTTTCAGCCAAGGAGTGAGGACATTATAAACCAACAGAAAAATGCTTCTCAAATGAATTTACTATCTGCCTCCTTTTGAATGCACAGGAACAGTATAACGTACAGTACAAAATGCAGCAGGTATCTAGTTCCTCTCTAAGAACTACTGAACCAAGAACACACGGCTAGAAAACAGGCAACTTGATATTTCAAAGTTTGAAATAAGCTTCATAAATGCTCAAGTTCTGAAAAAACTCCTGTATCACACATTGGCAGGTCACCAGAAGGAAAGTCAAGTTTAAACTCCTGATGTCAATCACGAAGCTTTACATGTATGAGTCAACAAGGCGTTGAGCTTAGTCAAGAAAAACAGGCGCTCTCAAAAGGTACAGAGGGAACATGCAGAGGTACCCCAGGGCAGATCCCCACTTCAGGGGGAAGTGATCCTCACCCACAGACAGCAGGTTCCTGAGAGTCTCCACCATCACGTCCTTGTACAAGGTCCTCTGGGCAGGGTCCAGGCACTCCCACTCCTCAGGAGAGAACTCTATGAACACATCTTTGAAGGTCAACTGTGCATGAAATGAAAACACATTTCACCAATGGGCCGTATGGAAGCTTCTTAGTTTCATACAAAATGAGAAGAGGTGAGAGGGGTAAAGCTCAATTCAGTTGAATAAATATTCTGATAGATCAATAAAAGCTGCTTGAAGCAAACTGTTGGTCTCTAATCTAATTTCTAATTTCGTCTTTTTTCTAAGATTATGATCTCCTGCAATCAACATGAATTTGTCAGGTATGTGGACAATACATGAAAAATACACAAAACCAACACTGGGTTGTGTATGCAGAAGTGTTACATTCAACACACGGAGTGACACAGTGTCACTATGTAGTTGAGTTACAGCAAGACTGGTGTCTTCAGAGACGACAAAGTCCACAGTGACTTTAAAAGAAAGCACACAGTGTGATGATGACGACATCATCACATTGATGTCAGGTGTTTCAGCACCTGTCCTGCACACTAAGAATTACTCTAAAGACTTCACATGGATGAACTTGTCATCAACATAACAGCACGTTAGAGAAAGATCTGTGTCCACCTTACTGGGGAGTAAATTCTGTCACTCTAAGAAATCGCTCAGATCAAACAGTTAAGAAATGGGGCAACAGCACCTGAGCTCAGGTGGTTGGGAGAGACAACTAAAGAATCAACCAGTTAACTACCAGAAAAGGAAAGAGCATCCACAGAGAGTTCCCTGAGAATACCTGAAACAAGTTCAAGGAAGCTGAATTACAACAGAAGAGCATAAATAGGAACGATACAGGGTCACACCCTCTCCCATCGCAACCCACACAATGTCAATAATCTTGCTACTATTTACATCATTCATGTGATGATGCAAAAAAAAAAACACCATGATATACACTTAAGACACAACTGAAACTGCTACAGAGCATACACCATTATTTATGAGATGATGTTTTTGTAATAAAACCATGGAGCTACATATCCGTGCACTCATGCATGTAGATGGAAACACACAATTCACTGAAACAAGAAGAGATGTCTTCTTTTCTTTCATTCTATCAAAATTTATTCAGCGTCAGCTTTGCACCTCAAACTTCAAATACAGCAGTAAACATGACAGAGCTTACCATCTAGCAGTCAGTCAGCCAATTTCATCCACAATTTTAACGTTAATATTGAAATAAGTGCTCTGACAAGAGGCCCGGTACTAAGACAAGATTAAACAGAGAGTCTTAACCTACATTGAGAAATCAGACAAGGTCTCTGTGAGGAAGAAACACTTAAGATTGGCAAAGTGGGAAACTGAAGAGTGTTGCAAGCAGAGAGAACAGCCTGAGTGCCGGCTCTGAGGCAGGAAGATATTTACTGAGCTGAAAGTCAGCCAGTGTGACTGGGTACAGAGAATGTAGATGGGGTGATGCCAGGTAGAAGCTAATTTATGCAAGACCTATGGATTGAGGACTTTAATCCAAAAGCTACTGGAAGTCTCTGAACAATCTGAAAGAGGAAAGTTAAGACGCTTAGATTTGTTTTTCAGAGCTCAATCTGCTGTGTGTGGAAGTTGTGTTTACCTGCTTACTCATGCCAGACTCTTTGCAACTCCGCTGACAGCAGCCCACGAGCTCCTCTATCCACGGAACTCTCCAGGCAAGAATACTGGAGTGGGTTCCCATTCTCTTCTTTCATTTTACTCCTTCATTCAGTAACTTTGTCAATATTCTATTTCTTTTTCAAAGTTTATTTATTTTGCTTATGTTGGGTCTTCATTGTTGTGAGTGGGCTTTCTTTAGTTGCAGCTGCAGTGCCCGGGCTTCTCATTGCAGTGGCTTCTCTTGTTTTGGAGCACAGGCTCTAGAGAGTACGGGCTTCCAGAGTTATGGCTCCTGGCTGTAGAGCACAGGCTCAGTAGTTGTGGCCCATGGGCTTAGTTGCTCTGAGGCATCGTTCCTGACCTGGGATGGAACCCATGCACCCTACATTGGCAGGCACATACTTATCCACTGTACCACCAGGGAAGTCCTCAACATTATTTTATTGTAGTTCAAAAAAACTTAAAACTAATACAAGCAGTAAATAACATAAAGATTTCTTCCAATCTTTATAAAATACCTGTATTTAAAAATATATGGGCCTCCCTATGGTAGGTGGTAAAGAATCCACTGGGCAATGCAAGAGGTGTGGGTTATTGCCTGCTCTGAGATCCCACATGCTGAGGGGCAACTATGCCGTGAATCTCAATTCCTGAGCCAGAGCTCTGGAGCCCAGGAGGTGAAACTACTGAAGCTGGCGCACTCTAGAGCCTGGGCTGCAAGAGAAGAGAAGCCACCACAATGAGAGGCGTGCGCACTGCAACCAGAGAGTGGCCACCACTCGCCGGAACCAGGGAAAAGACACTGAAGCAATGAAGATACAGTACAGGAAATGAATATAGTTTAAAAATAATAATGTGATTTTCATCCTTAATTTCACATATGTACTTATTAACAAAGTCCAAAATTTATTATTTGAATCCATTAAGAAAATACTGAATCAAGATCAGTAAAGTTGAGGGGGGATCAGGATGGGGAATACATGTAAATCAAAGGCTGATTCATGTCAATGTATGACAAAAACCACTACAATATTGTAAAGTAATTAGCCTCCAACTAATAAAAATAAATGTAAAAAAAAAAACAAAAGATCACTAAAGTTGGAAAATTCACTCATGGTTCAGTGGTTAAGATCCCTCATTTCCACTTCAGGGTTTCAGGTTCGATGCTTACTCAGCAAACTAAGACCCTGGCAGCTGCAGCATGTGGTCAAAAAAGAAAAAAAATTAGTAAGCCTGATTTTACAGTTTAAATTAGATGGTGTAACAAAACACTCCCTAGCCCTGACATCGCTTTCTGAACACTCCATTCCATTCCCAAACCCTTAAGTTTTCAAGGAGGTGCCCATTTAGTTTTAAAAGTACTATAAAAAGTCAGAACTGATTTCCACTCACTGGCCTCTTTGGCAGATTTTACCGTGTACTGTACATGTTAATACCTGAGGTCCACATACTGCTTCTTTACCCTGGTTGACAGAGAGCAGACAGCGCATCCAGATGGGCCCTAAACAGTCCCTGCTGCCCAATAGCACTGAGACCCCGTCTCCAACTCATCGGTGAGAAGCCTTGCCCAGGATGGTGCCCAGGGGAGCCTCCTCACAAGGGCCAGGTCACTGGGTCATGGGGAGACGGGATCTAAGTGGAGAGAAGCAGCCCTGAGGGAAGGGCCCGGGTAAGTGTGCGTGTACAGGAGTCAGACAGAACAGTCCAGAGTCAGTCACGTCGGGGAGTCCAGAGAAGGACATTTCAGGAAACCAGCGTGAGAATCCACTGAGAATATGACCTTACCTGAGAAAGAGCCATGCCTGACTCCTGTTCTTTCCTCTTCTGGGCTTCTTTGTCCATGAGTCTTCAGTTTTTTCATGAAAGTAGAAAACATGCTGTTTAATGCTTAGAGTCAACACACCCTCTCCTCAGCCCCAACCACACACTCAGGGAAGCCCTCACCATGAGGAACAGACAGTCCTCTGTGCCCACTGTCTCAGGAGGGACTCAGGATGGTCAACTCCCACACAGAGACCAACACGGGACTTTCCCACACTTTCTCTCGGATCACACTCCCCTCCTGGTGAGGCCTCATACACACAGCAACAGAGGGCACCTCCACTGACCCCACGATGCCCATCAGGTCACACAGCAGGCCCTGGTCCAGCCACACTCGGAGCTGAGCACCCTCCCCTCTCCCAGGGCCTGATCTCAGTCTCAGAAGTGGAGACTAAGAGCCCTGATGCTCAATGCAGGATCCAGATCGGAATGATCTGCAGCTCTGTGCACATTCCTGGGGCGAGGCCCCACCCGAGATCCTGAAGAACGTGTCTGATGGGGGAGAACTGACTAACCAAAGGAGTATGTGTATACATACCATACACCCTGTGACCATGTGATACATGTGTACACTGTGAAATATTTATCACAAACCACTAACCAACACATCCATCACCGCCAGATTCCCATGTTCTGTGTGTGGTGACAACACTGAGGATGTACTCTCCTGACAAATTCCCAGCAAGCAGTAACAGAGTAGGTTTAACTACGGTCAGCATGCTGCGCATATCTCCCCAGGACGCACTTATTTCACAACTCAAAGTCTGTAGCTTTTGACCAACATCTCCCTATCTTCCTGACCTTCCAGCCCCAGGTGACCACCATCCTACCCTCTGGTACTACTGAGTTTCATTTTTTTAATATTCCATATAATAAAAGGACATATAATATCAGTCTTTCCCTGTCTAACTCACCATAATATTCTCTACATTCATCCAAGTTGTCCCAAGTGAGACAAATCTCCATAATTCTTTACAAGGTCGCCATTGATTGAACAAATCTTTATCCCAAGCTACAAGAAAATTAAATCTAAAGAAAGCAGAAAGCCAAAAGTAAAACCATCACAAAGAACATGGTTAAAGTTCCTTGAAAAGGCATCATGTGGTAAGAGTCAGTCAGTTCTTGCCCCATTTTTTCTCTCACATACCTCTACTCCTCACCAGGAATAGGGAAGGGGGTGACCCACACCTGAGAGAATCAAGTCACTGCCCCAGACCCCACCTCAACAGGCTCTACACATGCATGCTCTTATAATACAAATAATTACAAAATACACATGTCTCACAGACAGAAGCTTTGCAATTCTCATTTTTTTTTTTTCTCTTTTTTTTTCTCATTCTTATCTGAACAATTTAAAGCAAGATCTGCATTAGATTTTAAACCCCAAAATCAATGTATGACGACATAATAATTCTTAGCCAACTGCTTCAGCACTCTTCTGGATCTAGTCCCCACCATCACCTGCACACTAGCTGTTTCCACTTCATTTGGTTGATCTGTTTCCCTACTTCTTTCTACATCTCCCTTTCTCTGCTCTCATCTCTGCTCTCCTGCTGAGCCTGTCCTCCTCTCTACTTCTTCCCTGCCTCCCATCCAGCCTCTCTCTGCCATCTGTTCGCCTTCAAGTTGCTTTCTCTCCAGCCTCCCTGGTGAGCCTCAATCTCCCTGCATTTCTGCCTTTCTTCCTCCATCTCTGCCCTCCCTTCCTCCCAACTCTCTGGCACTCCCAAGTGGCTATGCTTCCTTTCAGCTCGCTTTTTTTCTCAGCTCCTCCAATCACTAGGAGTCCCCTTTCTCTCCCAGAAGGATATTCTTGCTCTGGGCCCAACTCTTGTATGGCCTTCGCGGGCTGTCTCTGTGAACTGCCTCTCCACTGTCGCCCTCTTTGGGACTCCTGATTTACAGCCCCTCTCCCTTGAAGGCTACAGAAGGGGGCGGCACAGGACGAGATGTGGAGATACCATCCCTGGACTCAGCGGACATGGATTTGAGAAAACTGGGAGATCCAGGGCTCGCAAAGTGTCGGAATCAACAACCACACCTCCCTATCTTGCTCACCTTTAACTCTCTGGAGATGCTGCTTTTCTCTGAATTTCTCTCCTTTCCCCACTCGCTCCCTAGAAGGCTCATTCTCTTCCATGAAGCTGTCTCTTCCAAGTTCCTCACAATCCTCTTCACTGCCATCACTTGTGCCACATGCTTTCCTCAATTTCCCATTTCTCTAGGAGTCGCAGTCTCTGCTTCTCCTGATCCCGCCTTCCGCCCACTATTTACAGGGTAGGAGACTGAATAAGAAAGGCCCTCCCGCAAGAGCGAAATTCCAGCGGCTGGTATTTGAGGCCGAAGAACCATGGGTGTCACGTGGTTGGCTCAGGTCACCTCCCGCCACCAGGGATCAGGGGAGGGTCTGAGGAGACGTGAGGACAGAGGGGCTGGGAGGAACTGGGGTCTCAGGAGCGGGGCGGGCTCACCAGAATCCCTGGACCGGGGAGAGAACGCGGCATCTCCGGGAACGGGGCGGCCAGCGAGGCCTCCAGGGCCCGAGGAGAGGCTGAAGAACATGGAGCGAATACACCACCTCGCTTAATAGAATTGTATGTGGTGTAGAAAGGGTAGAAGGGTCAGTGAGGTCAGTAAACGGTTTTAAACCGGAAAAAGGTGCCAAACGCAGCGTTCCAGGGTTTCAAAAGCACAAACCGGCTTCAGTGCGGACTTTAAAGCAAAAGGCAGGCGCCCCTTCGCCGCTTACGGAGACGTCTGAATTTGCTGGGGGTGGTGGGGCGGGAGCGGGGATTTAGTCAGTACGACCCTCAGACCCGGGGTACAAAGAAAAGCAGACTGCGAGAAGGCAGGTCTCAAACCAAAGACAGAAACTCACGCTACGCTCGGACCTCCACTCGCCGCTCTCCGCTTCCACGTGAGTCACGGTGCGCGCACGCGGAGACAAATAGCTGAACGGCTGGAGGCGTGGCCAGGCCGTCAGGGGGTGGGTCATGGAGAAAAGTCAAACCAGGATAAGGCCTTTGAAAAGTGTAGCGGAAACTTACTGCGCGACGGGCTGGTAGTCTACGGACCACGAGAGGGTCGGGGCGGAGCTTCGGGGCGGAAAGACGGAGCGGAGCATCCTGGCGTGACGGGGCGGGGCCACTCGGAGCGGGGGGAGGGGCGACTAGGCGCGGNGGCGCGGGGGGGGCGGGGGCGTCGCGGCGCTGTGGGCTGAGGAAATAGTGTAATCTCTGCTAAAGGGGACTGCAACCGGTAAATTAAAAAACTGCTCCTTGGAAGGAAAGTTATGATAGAACTACATGGTGTATTGAAAAGCTAAGGAATTACGTTGCCAACAAAGGTCCCTTTAGACAAACTATGGTTTTTCAAGTAGTCAGCTCGGGATGTGATTTAAAAAGTGATGTCAGTTCGTCCATAAAGAAGGCTGAGCATAGAAAAATCGATGCTTTTGGATTGTGGTGCTGGAGATCAGTCTTGAGAGTCCCTTGGGAGAGCGAGGAGATCAAACCAGTCAATCTGAAAGGAGACCAACAGTCCTTCATTGGAAGGACTGATGCTGAAACTGAGGCTCCAATACTTTGGCCACATGATGCAAATATCGGACTCATTGGTAAAGAACTCGAGGCTGGGAAAGATTGAAGGCAGGAGGAGAATGGAATGATAGAGGATGAGGCATCACCAACTCAATGGACATGAGTTTGAGCAAACTCCAGGAGATGGTGAAAGACAGGGAAGCCTGGCATGCTGCAGCCCACGAGGCTGCAATGAGTCAGTCATGGCTGAGCGACTAAACAACAGTAACAACAACATATCACTGATAGGGCATAGACTGGGAATTTGTGGAGGGTGTGTCTGGTTTTTTCCCAGGGAAACAGGGGGCCTAGTAGGGGGTCTTAAATTAGTGATAATGGGGAAGGGTGGCTCTTGGCAGTAAGCCTTTTCCTGGAAGTGAAGTGGGAGAATTCTTTAATCTTTGCTCTTGTCCATAATTACAGGATCTGAAGTAAGCTTCAACTCTGTCATCATAAGCTGTAATTCCAAGAAAAGTCACAGAAGATAAATACACATGTAATAGTTAAAAATGGAACCTTAGGAATATTAATCCAATAATAAAAACAACAAGGAAAGCCTGAGAACCTCGATGTATGTACCTTAGAACGTCGGTGAGGAGCCCTGCGTGTTCCTTTGGGCTGTGTTGTGTCTGGTCCTGTCATATCTTAGAGACATGAGTACATGTTGAAAGACGTTCCTCTGAATCAACAAATCAGAGGTCTGGGTTGAACCAGAACCCAGAGGTTATATTGATGCCAAAATCTTGGCTCTCTGTGCACAAATGCCAAACTGAAATATTTGAAATACAAACAAAGAAACAGAGTTATGGAGGATAAAGTGTGGCTTTATGTATGTGCGAGGCTAAAAGGGAACACTTTAGGCCCCCTCCCTGGTGAGTAGGGAGATGTTTTATTGCCCACTAGGAATATATGCTAAGGATCAAGTCAGTAACAGCCTTGAATTCTTGTTTCCTCTGCAAAGTTCTAAAAGGATGGGGTTGTGACAAGATTCAGTTTTGTGCAGGGTCTTAGGTAGTCTCCTAATCAGTGCAGTGGTAAAGAATCCACCTGCCAGTACAGGAGACTTGGGTTCCATTCCTGGGTCGGGAAGGTCCCCTGGAAGAAGAAATGGCAACCTATTTTGTGTCCATTGGGTCACAAAAGATTTGGACATGATTGTCCCGGTGTGAGCATCCTTCTTTGCTTAGCAACTGTTCTGCCCTTTGGAACTCAGAGAAGGTCATGGAGGTTGCAGTCCTGTCTATAAGAAATGGGACCCAAAAAGGCCTCTGTGCCTGGGAGCTCCACAGAGCCCTGCCCTGCAGCCTCAATACTAGGAAAAATATTTTCCATTTTGCCATTTCTTTGGTGATCACGGGAAAAAAGTCTTTGCACAGCATCCTGGATATTATGTGTATGGTTACACAGTAATGAAATATCATACTGATGAAGCTAAATTATCCCCTCATCTCCTCTTTTACCAGCTGTGCTCTGGTGAAGAAATAGATGGTGAGAATAAGCCTTTCTTCATTAATAAAGTGAAAAAGCAGTCCGTTGTTTTCTGTGCCCTGAGAAAGAAAGCTGCATGTGAATTGTCCACATTCCACATGCAGACAGTACATGCGGATGTGGACAGATGTGGTGTTACCTTAAAACGGTTTGGCCCAGACACCTGGGGAAAGTCTTCACGAAATTCCAAGAGTAGATATACTGAGGATTTAGCGCATATGAAGTAGTAAACACAAACTGGACTGAATTACCCAAGAAATACTCAACATTGTTGGGAAAACAAAATGAAACACCAAAGTGATTGGGCTTGGAAGTTATCATACTGAGAGCGTAACGAGCAGGAAGGTCAGGGGTCTCCAAATGGAGGATATAGGCTGCAAGTGTCAACGTTGTTTATCTTTCTCTTAATTGGCAGGAGGAGGAAACAAACTACATGTGTCAGATATTTTCCCCTTCTCTATTCAAAATTTTAAATTTGTATAGGTTTCTCTTAAATTCTGTTACTATGACGACACCTGGTTCCACCTGAACTTAACTTTTCTCAAACCTTGAGCTAACCAATGCATGTTTCTCATGGAAATATTTTTATTAAGCTATGTTAATGAACTATGTATTTACCCTAGACTCTTTCTTCAAGTCGGTTCACTTAAGAGACTCAGAACCAATAATGGCTCAACAAACCAGTATGTTTTACTCATACAATTGTTGTCCTAATCTTTGTTAATGAAATTATTTGTTTCCTTAGGAACCTGACTTTCTTCAAGATTCATGTCAATCGTTTTATGGCCCGGGACAACTCACCTTGTGCCAATGTTATCTCAAAATGCATGATGTGGGTGTGGGGCCTGATGCCAATCTCTGAATTTTGAGACATTTCCTTTCTCCAATTAGCAGCCTGCTAGTAGCTATATGACATTCACCTAAAGACTAGCAGGGGGGCACTCCTTCTGTCTCCTTCTGATGTCTATGTCAGAAACTTTCTCTATCTCTTTTATACTTCAATAAAACTTTATTACACAAAAGCTCGGAGCGATCAAACCTCATCATTGGCCCCAGATTGAATTCCTCTCCTCTGGACGCCAAGAATCCTGGAGCGTTTCACGGCTGAGCAACAGCCTTTCAATACTAAGTAAATAAGCCAGAGAAAGACAAACATTAGACATCACTTATATTTGGAATCTGAAAAAAGATACCAATGAACTCATTTACAAAACAGCAACATCCAATTGTGTAGTACAGGGAGCTCTGCTCAATGTTTTGTGGCAGCCTGGATGGGACAGGAGTTTGGGGGAGAATGGATACATGCATATGTGTGGCTGAGTCCCTCGATTGTAATTTATCCTGACCCCTTAAAAGATCTGAATCTGTGCTCACTTCGGCAGCCCATATACTAAAATTGGAATGATACAGAGAAGATTAGCATGGCCTCTGCGCCAGGATGACACGCAAATTCGTGAAGCGTTCCATGTTTTTCACAGATGTACAGAACAGACTTTTGGACTCTGTGGGAGAAGGCGAGGGTGGGATGTTTTCAGAGAACAGCATCGAAACATGTATATTATCTAGGGTGAAACAGATCACCAGCCCAGGCTGGATGCATGACACAAGTGCTCGGGCCTGGTGCAGTGGGAAGACCCAGAGGAATAGGGTGGAGAGGGAGCTGGGAGGAGGAATCAGGATGGGGAATACATGTAAATCCATGGCTGATTCATGTCAGTGTATGACAAAAACTACTACAATATTGTAAAGTAATTAGCCTCCAACTAATAAATGTAAATTTTAAAAAAAAATTAAAAAAAAAAAAAAAAGATCTGAATCCTTTTGGGACCCAGCAGTACCCTAGACCCATACCCACCTCAGCCCCCAGTATAAATCCACCTCACCCCACCTTGTCTTTGCTCTTTTATTAAAATTTGAAAGGAGTAGAGTAGGTTCATAATGTTGTGTTAGTATCAGGCATAGAGCGAATTGAATGAGTTATATTTAAAAATTATTAGAGAGGAAAAAAATCTCCTTTAATGAGAACTACATTCTTCTTTGTAAAAAGTGTTTCTGTTCCATGCTTGTGATGACATAGCTTCAAATACTTGAGAAAAACTTGTATAATAATATAATTATATATAGTAATTAGTTATATAATAATTATATAATGATATATAGTTATCAATATTTCCTGAATGTACCAGTGCCAGTGAAGTTGCTCAGTCGTATTCAACTTTTTAGGATCCCATGGACTGTAGCCTACCAAGTTCCTCCATCTATAGAAGTTTCCAGGCAAGAGTACTAGAGTCGGTTGCCATTTCCTTCTCCAGGGGATCTTTCTGACTCAGGAATCGAACCCAGGCCTCCCACATTACTGGCAGACACTTTATTGTCTGAGCTACCAGGGAAGGCCAATGTAATGGAACGTCAAATTACTGTATTTGAGGGTAATTAGGCAATTTACTTTAAAAAAAAATTGTAATCTATTTTTCTCTTTTCTTTGTTGTCTGTTTGGAAGCACTGTCACAAGTGAACAACAAAGCAGAGTATACAATATAATGTTTTCAGAAGACATTAGAATTTATTTTCACCAAAATTATCAACTATGCACTACTTGTAAATATTTCTGTGTATTAACTGTAAATATTTCTGTGTATTAACTCAAGACCTAAAGAAATTGTCTGTCTTCATAGTTATAGAGTACCTACTATGTCCCATCATTCTTATGTATGTGCATTTTCATGTTCTAAAAGTCTCAAAACAACCCACTGATGTGGATTTGTCAGAGTAAGGCAGGGAAAAAATGTAAACTAAATATTAGTAATGTAAATGTAAACCAAATGTTAAATCTTCATCACAACAGGCGGTCAGAAAAAAATTAGGCTAAGGAAAAACTATTGATAAAACAAATAGGGTGGTGTGATTTGAAACAATAGCACTGAAACATATATTGCCATATGTAAAACAGATAGCTGGTGGAAGTTTGATGTATGAAGCAGGGAGCCCAGAGTCAGTGTTCTATGAAGACCTGGACAGATAGAGTGGGGAGGGAGGTGGGTTCAGAAAGCAGGGGACATATGTAT